CACACACACACACACTGCACGCCTTCTGAAACTCTGCTGAAACATAACTGATAGCCTGCTGTATAAGTAGTCATAGCAACCCATCATACAGGAGCTGTCTCTCTCCGCCTCTCCCGCATGCATGCAGCGGCTGTGCGCTGATTCCTTAACGCCCCTCCCTCTCGCGCTCTCTCTCTCGCGCTCTGTGTGCCAAAGAGAGACAATGATTTACAGACTACAATGGCACACCCCTTTCATCCGTCTTGCCTTATCGAAGGGGGCAGGGACCTGTGTAAGCCAAGACATAGACTAAGTTTTTAGCATTTCTATCTTTAAACATTTCCCCAGGAGCTGACATCTTCCAAGTCCTCAAACATATCCAGTTGCTATTCAAAGGTAGCCCTGTGAAAAGCTTATCCCTTTTGTAGAGCTGCTGTCATTTAACAAAGGCACACACATTAATACGATTTTTTTTTTAATATGCTTTACTTCATTGACAATAGAGGATTTATATAGGAGACCATTCTTTCTCGGGCTTTGACATTATATAAAGGGGAAATACATCTAATAATGAAATAAAATGAGAATATTGCTGCAAGAATACCGTATCAATATCAAAGGCATATCATAAGCGAAGCTGCTTTTCCCGGTACATCATTCATCGCTCTTATTCGGATAGACGCGGAAATTCACTGGAAACGGATAAGTAAGTAATATGAAAGACGCAACTGTAATAAACAGGTTAAACTAGGGGTGAAGTGACACACAGCAAGGAAAAAAACACGTTGTTTTAAATAAACTGGGTGGTGCATCAAAAACATTCCCTTCAAGGAATCAGAACCTACATCAAATTACTCAGTGACGTTTATTCACAGCTTGTTTGTTGTGAAGACAGCGCGGCTGACGGATGGCGGCTGGTGGGACGCGCTTCCCCGCCGCTGTTGTTGCGCGTCCCCCTCGCCGTCTACATCCCAATCAGCGCAGCCGCGATAGCCGGTTTAGCGGTTGCCGCTCCCGCTTGGCGTCCGGGCTCCGCCGCTGGAAGTCGGCATCCGAGCTGCGGCGTCGGGAACAGCAAGGGGGGGAAAAAGTAAGATAAATGAAAATTACGACTGCTGAAATGCAGCGCAGAATGCAAAAGAGGCCGCCTGTCTGAGCTATGAATGTGATCCGAAGGACGACTTGTTTATTCCTTTAAAGGAGGGAGGGGGGGAGTTATACTGATCGCAGCCCGTAGTTGTATATTCGATGCACCCCGCTGAGTGTCTCTTGTAAAATTCCCAAACTGCATGTTTCAAAGCCGGTCAATATTTCCGATAAATAAACCCGAATCTCGTGCATTTTGACGAGTTTCCCTTCACATGTTTTTTTACAAGCCTTAAATAGCTACATTTGC